ATCATTGGGGACTAGTAGGGTGTATTTGTTACGGCTTTCCCGTGTAGAGTTGATCTTTTTTTTTTTGAGTTTGATGTATTCTTTGAACATTTGCCTAAAAATATTGTAAGCGTATTTCTGTTCCAGTCGAAAATCTTTATTGTGTACGGTTTATTTTGAACACAGATCATGACAGAATTTTTAAAAATTATGTGATTGTGTTCACTCTTCATATATTAATCATTGAAGTAAATTGCATTCAACTTATCACTGAATACATGTAAATTGTAATTGGTGAAATTTACTAACTTTCTTTAACTTACTACAATTAAAATATGGTCGTGTTCTGCGTTGTTGTGCCGTGTAGTCTGGTAGAAGTTTACCATTGTTTCAGATGTCCTTGTCGCCTCCATCATCAGGGAGGATGGAGGAAGCATGGACATCTGAAACGTCGGTAAACTTCTACCAGACTACACGGCGCAACAACGCAGAAGCCAGCCATCTTTACTTCTAATACTGTGTCAGTATGTTACTTGTTTTATTACAATCTTGAGTTGTGTCATGTAATTTTCTGTCATATAATCGTACAGAAATAACTATTTATAAAATCTTTGGTCGTGGCAGGTGACAGCGGGTGAAAATTAAAATAAAACTGAAAATGTCTGGCCTGATAAATATAATATAGACTTTCTGTAGTGTGGTTAGAGACAGGAAATTCAACTAAGTTCTCCACTAAAAATATCTTTATCACTTTATTTTTATATGCCACATTTCCTCAATTTTAAGACAGTATTTTCAATTTTTAATTTGACCGAAATTAGGGTGCATTTTACTTTTATTGGCATCAAAGAATCAATACAGTATCTTTTTTTCAGAAAACCCATTACTAAATTTAGGGAGTCATAAATTTGAGGAAATGCAGTATCTTTTCTTTTATTAGCCATATTTGTGGTATTCTTTGAATTAACCAGTCTGTTTCTAAATGCATTATTTGTAACAGCTGTTTGTATGCAGATTATTATGTAATTAATTTTCGAAGTTTTACCAGGAAGTGCATCTGAAAATATTTCAGAATTGTATATGAATATTACGTACTTCGGCTCATCGGTAACTGGTTGTTTAATTTTGCTGCACCGGTTATAAAGATGTCGATATTTCTATTCAGCCTATTTCGTGATATCCAATAATCGCTGTTAGCTTGAAATAATCTAAATTACCAAAATAAAAACTAAAATAATGCAGCCTTGAAATGTATATTGAACATTCTGTTAATCAGTAGCAAAGAGTGAAGAACAGTTTTCATGTATGAGAATTGTATGTTTTTTTTTGTTTTTTGTTTTTGTTTTTACGAGACTTAGTGAAGTGATGTGGATTGGTTAGTAAGCTTTTGTTGTAAGTATTGAGGTTATGTTCCAGAATTCTTTTGGTGTGGTGGTGGCTAGCATGGAAAAATGAAAGAAGAATTCTCGGCATTGGACGTCTGTTAACATTTACACTTTATAAGCTGAGTTTATTTTGTTTTGTGATGTTAATTTTTCCGCAGCTGTCTGTAGAGTGTGTGTCGTCTTCTGGGTTGTAATTTAATGTATAATTGGAATAAAATGGGCAAAGTAAGTTTTTTCATGGGGAGGTAATGGCCCCGAAAACGGGCTGAAGTGACACAATTCTGATGTTTCTTCCTATTGTAGGTGGCATTATTACCCAGAATACTACATATCAAAAGTTTTATTTGCATTGTTGACATTATTTAAAGAATATTAAATTCTATTTCCAGATTTTATAATTCTGGAAAAGGGTAACATTGAAGTGGCCAGCCGACACGCCCCCGCACCTCACAAAGGGGCAAACTTTCCTCCATTTCAAATTGTTTGGTAATTTGTGTTGTTGGGGGTGGTAGCATTGTCATCGTTGTTAGGTGGTTCTGCAGTTTCATATCGCAGTCCTTCTTGGGAACAGCAATTGTGTACATTTACTGGCTGATAATTTATGACGTATAATATTTCGTAGTTACGTTCATTTACAACGTCTGAGTCACTCTTCAGTCTTGGTGAGTTTTTGTGGCTTCATTATGTGATCTGTATGCCACTTACTCAGTATCCATGCCGTGTTATTTAGTGACTACATAACGTTGCGCAGTAGTAATACGCGCAGTAATACAGTACGGTCTTTCTTTTGCGCACGATCACTGGATTCATTGCTAGGAGTCGCTGCGAGTCGGTAGCAAAGACATTGTGTTATACTCCCCTTAGATATTTACGTGTGAATCAGTGTTGTGCGAGATTTATTTTGTGTTGGACACGGATGTTGTTTAACTTCGGCATCAAGTGTTCTTGTATGAATCTTGTGTTCAAGTCTTCTAGGAAGTGTCTGAGAAAATTCAGAAGTAAGTTTCGTGAGTTTTGTGTTCCCCATAAGAACGCTATTCAGGATCTTGTCAGTAAAAACAATAACTCAAAATGTCGCTTTTATATTTTCGGAACTTTATGTTTAAGATACGGAGATTGTCGATGTACCCATTCGAATAAAATCAAGTGTTGTCTGAAGAAAAAGCTTCACGAACTGATTGAAGATACTAGTTACAGAAATTAAATCTGTCTACAAACAGCCCCCTTTCTTGTCCAATGTTCTTAGAAAGCTTACGAGGCAAATGTTCAAACTGAGTCCCAGTTTCACTTTTCTTAATATTCTTTGTTATTTTAGTCTCCTGTTAACATTTCAGTTGTTCTTTCTTTATCGAAAAGATTCTGAATAGTGTTTTTGTGGAGGAACTTTAACACCAAAAAACTTTCTCGTGAGTTTTATAAAATGTAAGG